AAATGTGGGATCAGCTGGAGTCAATGATCAGAAAGACAAAGGGCTCATRAAAGTTATATAAATAAATGTAATTATCTTCACTTTTCAAACATTTCAACAATTCAATAATGTAAAACTTAATTGAAGACACCAGTTTCAAAAACATATTTATGCAAGTTGTATGATATTATTTGATTCAGTAATGCAAAAGCTGTGTGCAAAGAAAAATCTAAAAGTTTTTTATTGAAGCTAGGCTGCATAAAATAGATTTTGAAATTGGAAACTTCATATTTATTCTCAGAAAAGATAAATTCATTCAGATGATTATTTTTTATCTTTATTTACACAATAAAGTCACAACAAGAAAAGCCACTGAATCTTAAAAATTATTTGAAATGATCACATCAATATTGAAAGGATGCATAGACAAAACTATTGTTTAGAACTGATTCCACTGATAGGGTTGGCACGCTGACGGATCATTTTCTCTCTTGATGCTTGGACCCACTCATCACTTAGCGTGTGGGGTGGTTCTGGGCCAACTGGAATAAAAATGTTAACATTTAGGCTCAAATCTCTGGTTATTTATGTTCTAATATGGCAATTATACTTACTATAAGTACGAAGGAATGCAAAGAAACCTAAAGACACTGCAATTAAAAATGATACTCCTCCAATAAGTTTCTTTACATATGGTTCTCCTGTTCTACACTCTGCCAAAGTCTTGGGGAACTGGGACTTGTACACTATAAAAATAAAAGTACAAAATAACTATTACATTTCAGTGAAAAATACAGTTACAAAATAAATTCTAGGCCATTAAAATTTTCAATATAATTATTACACATGAACACAATGCTTATGAAAARTTATTTGTAACAAATTAAGGGACACCATTCAAGTTTTAAGTATGCCGGTAAAGTCGTGACAGAAGTCACGTTTACACGTCGATTATTTTCAAAATTTACAGCCAAAACAGTAACTTAAACCACAATTCAATCTAATAAATTTGTAGCTAAATTCAATGAACGTTGTGTAAAAATATATGAATTTAATCCCTAGGCTTAAAACTAAGAATTTTGTACTCACATGCTACTTTCTCCTCTTKCGTCAATGCTGACCATGGTCCTACTTCTTTCTGTTTTAGGGCCTCYAAGTCAGATCCAAACTCTGCACGTACAGTCGGCACAGGGTCAAACCTTCTCGCAACAGAAGTGTGGATTCTCCTGGTGGCAAGTCGCGAGGAAAACCTTAAAAAATTGGCCATTACTCCAGCTAATCTACTACCAAACCAAGATGGCAGACTGCAAGACTATACCGTGAATCTTTGCGAAAAAAAAACGAGGAACACTGGCACTAGCTCAACACAGGTATCCCACACAGTTGTACAATTTTTCAACATTTGCAATATGTACTCTATAAATAAATTGTGTAGCTCTTGATTACTGTTTTATTTTAATTCGTTTGCTTTTTATTTTGCGTCTTTTGTTTATCATGATTAAGTAATGTAATTTCAGTAAAAAGAAAATTCTTCCCATTTCAACAATTTCTTTTATCATGAACTTTCAGTTTGATTTCTCCAAATTATAATCTCAGACTTATGAAAAAGTTTTTGAAAAAGAATTTAGCTGATATAGAGCGCGCCGAATGTCTGCGTGGGTGGACACTGAATCCGTTTGAAGTCGTCTTTGTGAAGTTAATTTATCAGTATTATCTCGTGAAATCTCTCTAAGACAACATTTAGGCTTATATTCTATATTCATATTTCTTCTTGGAATGGTTTGACAACTGCAAGTCTACCTTTTTGTGTTTTAACAGAAGGAGAAAACTGGAAAATATGTTGAAATCAAATAAAGGTACGTGGACAGTGATTCATTCATTCGTTTCAGGTAATTCACCTTTGACTTTACGCCATATTTATCCCATTATTTTCCCTTTACAAGTTATAACAATAATATCAAAAATACTAGCTTGTTGTAAACTAATTGGAACCACGCAGTCATTTCTATTTTGAATATTAGCTGAAAACACTTGCTAGGGTAAAATACTAGAGAAAACTACATCCCTTGTGACAATAACATCCGGGCTCAAATCAAAATTAGTTTTTTGCCGTATCGATCAGTTTCGGGAAACGCATAACAAAAAGTTGCTGAAAATGCAAGCAATTTAATTTCAAAGTAACATTTTCCTAAACAATTTATTGCCGATTGAATAACGATAGTCGTTTGTGTAGACTTTGAAGTCGCGTCCATGGAAGCAGTGTCGAAAATGATAGTCTATGATTTATAATGATATCTGTACTTACACAAAGCGCATGAAATACAAATACTCATATAACACAAAGAAGTAAAAACCCATCATAAAAAAACGATGATTCGCCGACATAAACACTTATTGTAGGCAAGTGYCATGATAGGAAGTTGGACAAGGATGTTCACTGAGAAGCGAAAAACAAAAAAGCAAAACTAAGCCATTGAAATCTAAACAAAATTAACATGAATTTGCAATGAAAACGGTCTCTATTTAACGCGGATATTTGAAGTGCAATGATTGTGATAATTATTATATGATACATGCGATGATGATGATAATATAAAACGTGATAAGCCTTCCAAAGGCTAGTGATAAGCATAGTGAAAAAATAATGAACTAGAAACCAAGTCTCTGATTGATATCGAACATAGCTACAATAGATATGATTCTCCTAGTTAAGAAGTCATTTTAATCCGATTAGCGAAAAAACCCGACAAACCAATTTTTTGTTTTGTTATCATAATAGTTCAGCGTGATGCCCTAAAAATCTTGTCACGCAAAATTCCACGTTTTCTATCTTAAATCTTGTTATCCCGGTCTGCTAATCTCTTGCTGTGTCGAGGCTAATCCTCACAGACTCGTAGACTACTCAAATACATGTATATTATGTCTTTTTTTCATCTCGATGAAATAGATGAGCCATTTTTGATTATCGTTAACCGTTTCTCGTCCGCTAATTGTTATGAAGTAAAGCTATTAGTCAGGCAGAACTTTGTCTATTCCTTGTCGTTGATACAAAATTAAATAGAAGATGTTTATAAGGAGGGAGGTGTGKGGTGCTGTTTTCGTTCTGCGACAGGGAGGGGAAGGGGTAAAAGTTAGAAATTGCGTGAATTTTTTAAACCTCTGAAAACTCTCATTGGAAAATGATTGTAATACATGTGTAATCGTATCCTATCGATTGAGGCGATGACACGCGGCGACGTAAAAAAGCTTTTAAAGTAGGAGAAATGAATGACAATCACACTTCTGTAGAGGTAACAATAGTGGTATTTTGAGCCCACGAGGAAGGGAGGGGAGGGGTTTTTCATATAGAACGTTTCAGTATGTTTTATTTATTTATTTTATTTTTATTTTATTATTGTAAATAGAAGTCATTTTTTTTAGAGTAACTTGTAGAATGCAAAACCAAGACGATGAACTATTGTGGCARAATGGACATGAGTGTATATATGGTTTGAATTTAGGAATGATATAATGATGGGAAAGAGATCGCATTTGATATCATACCGCAGTAGACAGAAGGGCGTATCAATTCCTGAGATTAACTTTAGACTTGATAATAGCTTAAAAATTGTCTTTTGTACCGAGGTTTAAGCAACCGAAGCGGGCAACAATTGATTAAATAGTGAAATTATATTAATTCATTTTTTCATTTACTCAATTCCCTTTTTGAGATTAAAAAAATGTGGATGTTTAGACTTTAGTGAAAAAATGAATTTATTTTCAACATAAAGCTTACTACTTAAAATCAAAGCATAACGTTTTAAGGCATTTAGTTTCAACTTAAAAATGAGACACTGAGAAAATAAACTCAGTTCAGTTTTTCACAACKTCATTGAAACATATCCTTAGTATTAGGGTGGGAGGGGTTAATTTGAGGAAATATTCGTTCGTATAGATTTCATCTCGTTTTAATATTCCAACTCTGTGAGAAATTCGTGTGATTTTCAAGTCTGTCGATAGTTMAAACAATAACGRCGACGCTTATTTTTGGCTTGTTAAACCTTGTAAAACGCCAAAGGAATGTCCATTGTGGTTGCAAAGACCATTAGTACTTATTGAAAATGARAAATTCATTTGACCATTTTGTAATATTAATGGRRAAATGTGTAATTACCTTTCGCTTATCAAAAAGGCTACATTTCTAGCGCTTTCTGTGTTAYTAACTTGTAAAATTAGTATCAAATGCGTKGCATCACAAGGAAAAATGTCTAGAAAATGTATCATTACAATCGAGGAGCGTGGCGAATATAAATGGAGCCTTAAATCAAGATCACATACAAGATACTTTACTTGGAATTAAAATTGAACAAAAGATTTTACTGATAGAAAGGAGTAAATGGGCGTGACATTAAGATCTATSAATTTATGATGGCTGCATATTTCATTCTTTTGAATTGGAGAGTGCAAAATTAGATTTTGTTGCGGCAAAGAGAGACGGAACAAATGAAGACTCTAAGCTGAAGGAAAAGGAAACAAGAAACAAAGAAAAACAGATAGACAAGTTTTTCCGGTCACTGGATGTATAGAGGGATGGAKGGGGGGGGGGGGGGGGGGGGGGGGGGATAAATGAATGGATGGATGAATGCGGATAAATGAATGACTAGATAAATGACTAGATGAATAGGAAAACAAGAAGTGAATGAGAAAAAGGAGAATGACTTCAGAAACTAGAGCTAAGTTTATACGGAAATACAGAAAAGAAAAACAAACAAACAAACCAAATCAGCAAATAATGGAAGAACTTTAAGTAAATTTTCAAATTGTTCTCCGTTAATTAGATAAATTGCCATTACTTCATTTGGTAAACCTTGTCCTATACTTGAAGTTCACGCTTTTACTTCACAACGAGTTTCCTGATCGCAAAAGTGTTTCTCTTAGTGCTGGCGTCGAGAAATGAATAAGGCTTGAAGAGTCATCACAAATTGCCTAAGGGGTACAAAAGTGCCTTTTAGGTCGATCCAAAGGGCAGAGGCCTGTTCACCAATCGCTAATGGTCTCCCAATGATCAAAGTATGTTTTGTTGTGTTTGGAGTGTATTTATGGCACTCTTACCCAACCACGTCAAGATAAAGCATGGTCCAACATCCTTTTAATGCTCAAGTGGTACACAGGTCATTTACATTTCTAGCTCACTGTGATTCACCTGTTATGACGGAAGTCATCGTTCTCTGGTACATCTCTCGTGCGCTTTGCAAAAGAAGGCATCCAATCGCTGTCCAATCACATTGCCATGCTCAAGTAGTCAGAGTTTTTTCTTCGGTGAACGTTTTTAGTATGAATTTAAGAGTGGATTTTGACGATCCTCAACGCGGCGGTATCGACTAAGGGGTGAGTAGCTTTCCTTGAATTGTAAATCAGAGAGTAGCCTGTCTGACCGTCGGTACTATATATCAGGGTAAGGATTTCTCACACTCTCCAGTAACACATGTAGTCAATGCTTAAAAACATTATCAGCGGGTCGTCTTGTCCATCTAATTTAAAGGATACAAACGGTTAGCCACAGTTCATACTCTGACCATCTAAATAAACTTCAAAGTAAAACGCCGCTTATAGCATTCATATTTCAAAAAGTGAAAAAAAGAGGATGTCATCAAACGAGACAACCAATGTACAACAACGTTTAATATGATTCACTTAATATATTGGACAACAAAAACTTCGCGTTCTTTTCCGAGTTAAAAATCGTTTCTTTCGTCTATTTACATATTGCAGTGAATTTTAATTTTCTAGCTGTTTAGATTAGAGCTTTGCGGCTCTTTTTTCGGTCAAATTCACTTCAGTAATCCATAACTATTTTGATCGTGACGCGCGAGCAATCAGACAATCATTTCGTGACGATATCATTTTGCCAAAGGCAGTGTTTGTATTGGGTAGTAATAAGTTACTTACCTGTCTATATTTGAATGGTAGATTCTACCATCTAATAGCAGGCTGTAATCTCATCAAGGCGTACTCAATCTGACCATCAACATGATTTGTTTGCTGTCCTGAGTGCATACAAATCATCTTCAGTGAAAATTAAAAACATCGGAGACTGTTTTGATAGTTTGTTTGTCCAAAGAGAAAACATAAACATTCCTCGTTTTCATTTTGTAATAACCAAAACAAACCATTTAAGTTTTACTCATTAACTTTTTTATCTGATAAACATTCTCTGTACATAAATTTAGTTCTTTTTAGTGGGAAACATGTAAAATGGCTTCTCTACCCTCTAAAGTGCATTCCTTTCCCATACTATAAATGACACTGTTCTCCATACTCAGCTAAGGCTGGCTTTTTTCGCTATCTTTTTCTGTTGTTTTTAGCAGACTGTTAATTGCCAAGTAGACTGTCTTTATTCCGGTTTTAACAAGYTAAAAATCCGTCTTGTTGGGTTCAAGTYCATTCTCAATTTCATCCTTTCTAAGCCGCACARCAATTCCAGCCATTAAACAAAATCTACTTAAAGATGATCTTATTGTTGATGGTRACATCGAGTTCTCATGACAGTTTTGAATTTCCAATCGCATTTTTGYATTCTGGTGAAATTGGGCGTGTCTGGTAAACCACAATTCTCTTGGAGATAGACAAGTTTCAAAGGCTGGTCGTGTATTATTTGTGTTGTACCTATTATAGCAAAGTCAATATGAAATTGGTTGTGCAAACCAATTAACTGTGGCTGGCTATAATKAAGACATTCACTGACAATGTCATCTATTAGTGAAATTGTGATGCTAAAATGAATAGAGGTTAAAATCTTAGGCTTTTGTTTATTTTAAGACAATTAACTTTTAAAATAATTGCTACTGCTGCAAATTGGTAACAAAATKTCAAATTTTATTTTTCTAAAATTGAAAAATTCAAATATAAATCGTTGTAGCGGGCTAACGACTTCTGTTATGGTTGTGATTGCGTATGACAGACCGGCACACGCTGAAAGTTGATTTTYCTCTTTTTTCGCTGGTATATGATTATGAAAAGGTCATGTTTATAACACGATATTAGACCTCATTTGAAACTCATTTCTATACCTTTTTCTAAATATGCTTTTCTTAAACTTGTTCTTTTTTTGGTGTTGACTAATTTTGCCACGTGAAGATAGAGATCTCACAACTGTCAGATGAAAGTGCGATGTGGATTTTGGCCAAGCGGAAACTATACCTTGTCTGATTCTACTCTTTGATATAGACTTTTAGGCGAGCAACTTGCATTAGACGTGCTGTCAGAACCCAAACGAGAAACAGAATATAAAAATCATTATCAAATTGAATTACTGGATTTGAGAACAATCAAACGTTTGACAAATGATGAAAAATAGAAAACGTTACAAGTGGTTGAAATGATGAATGTGACTTTAGACGGGATCAATTAACGATGATTCTAAAYGTAACGAAAAAAGAATTATCGCAGACAATGGAAATTGAAACAACAGCGAACAACTGAAAAGTTAAAGACAAAATACCAATTCGAAAAGCTGAATTTGATAAAACAACAATGMTGTTCYCACAGTGTAAACATTTAGTGAATATCACTTGTGATAAGACTTTGACAATGTCTAGAAGGGAATAAAAAGAAAAAGGAAATGCCCARGGCAAGTTAGGAAGAACTATGAATACAACTTATGTCATATGAAACATGGCGCCGATATTCACGTGGCACTCCAAATAAGGACATCSAGTCGAACGAATTCTGTAAATGTTCTTGACATTTTAAACAATATTGTATGTCTATATTCTGTGTTATAATATAAGTATATAAAGTGAAGTGTTTAGAATATTGCATAGGGTGTCTCCTCAAGTGTTGTTTACATGGTTATCWTGTTTTTTCCGTGMGTAAACGAGAATTTTTTCCTAATTTATAATCGATTATTAAGGAGTCTTCTGAATTTACAAGCAAGTTCACAGCWGTGATAAACAACAAACTTTGATATTTTGTTTTTGTATTATCAACGTTTATCTTTGCAATATTGGACATGAATCATTCATAGTGGAGCTTTATGTATGAAATAGTGTTACTTAAGAAATTCAATAGATAAAATCGACGCACTTATGTCATTGAATCACAGTTTCGCATGAACCCCTTTAGTAAGGACAAGGGTCCGTTTTAGGAGAGTGTCATTTTTCTTKCGAATTAGAAGTATCCGTTGAGTGGGTGTACCAATAACTTGTGTTTTTAATATAAGTTTATCTTGTGAAAAATCACTGTGAATCAAGTGAATGATGATCAGTGATTTCGGTATTTTAATGTCAGCTCGCGCATTCGGTGCATTTCAATGATTTCAGTCAAAACTTATAACTTTTGCTCATTATCTATGTAAAATACAAAAATGATTTTCATAAAAAGAATAAGAGATATTTAGATCCATTCGTCTTATAGCTGAACAATACAGGAAACCCATTGACTAATAAATAACTCTTGTGAGATTGTTGGAAATCAAAAATGAGAAAAATCTCATTAGATTCTTTCTAAATGAATTCCTCCTGCTCTAAAGGAAATACGTGCTCGAAAGAAATATTCCTTGAATTTCCAATGACATCCAGGGCAAAGTTCTTTAAAATAAGCATGAAAAACATCGTGTGATTGACAGTCTGAAATACCATTCAAACTAGCAAGGGGCACATAATGTTAACCTATAGGCGCGCACCCTTCAATAAGACGTGCTTAGGCCTTGATTTCAACTAATGATACAATGGAAGTTTGCTCAAACTTTACTTCATCCTGCAACCTTTTTTTTCTCGATTCCTTCTTCCACTCAGAGCCTATTTTTAATCTGCAATTTCTTTCCTTCTATATATCTCTTKTTTTTCTTTCCCATTTTCTATTGTTTTATTTCACACTGTTTTTTATGATTTCTTTTCTTTGTTTATGCTTTTTTGTATTGACCTCTTCAGTTCTTTCAAGATTGAATCCTTCCTGTAGACATTATCCTCGTCTTCCTTGTGACCCACCCTCGACTCCTCCTTTTCCTTCCTTTCTTGATGAATTTAGTTTTCTTTTCTTCCTGGAACATGAAATATGTAACTGAGTAAAGTTCTGATATCGTCTTTTATTCGTAAAAGATACTGAATCTGAAGAAAAGAAGAAAGGATTTTAGTTGTCGCTTCTATAGGAAATGATACACTGTTAATAAAATGTCTAAACGTAGTGAATTTAAGGACAATATTTTGATCTTCATAGAGAAAAGCACTGAGCTATTTCAAGTCATTTCAGTAAAAAAAGACGGCTCACGAGATAAGATTCACACAACCCTTACGGACAAATAGTATTATTTATATGATCAATGAAAATCACATGCGGATTACTCTTGTCGCCATTTTAGATTTGAAAAAGTGTAAAAAAAACCTGAATAACTAAACTTCAACGAAACTTGAAGTCACTAAAGCATACAATGCATTCATTGAAGAGCGCGTGCGTCAAGTGGTTTGTTTTCGCGCGCTTTTTAGCTCTTTACTTTTTGTCAGTACTGTAGACATAACTGACGCCTAAAATGGAACTATTTTGCGTAATTTCTATTTGAAATTGCTTTGTATAAGTAGCGTTGAGTATGCAGGTATAAACATTTTGAAGAAATAGCGCACTTGAACATCATTACAAACCATGCACCATACATTTACAGAATGAATTGTCATTTATAAAAGAAAAGCRCAAATGAAGGAGCTCATTTCTGAATTGACAGCTTATTTTCGACGCCAAATCCATTATATTTAGACGTCAATCTTCCTTGTACGTGTTTKTGAAAGTGAACTGATTGGATGACCTTATTAAGGAAGGTTTCAGCTCGTGGCTCCTTGAGAATGAGAATGGAGCTGTGGAGTGGCGTGCACTGCCTCTTTACATTAACAATAACTAAGTGCCCTTTCTTATCTTCTTCATCAGTGGTAATGTAGACACGCCAGTGATTGTGGACTCAGATTTTAGAGTGCTTTGTTTGCGAGGCTGTTTTCAGCTGGCTGTAGAAGTGGTTGTTAGTATGTAAGACCATATTGATAGTATGTGGACTGCATGGAGCTTGATTCAGGCAGGCTATGTTGGCTTTTAGCACTGTTATCATCAATTACTATCATTTTTATCGTTACTAAAACTGAATTCTTGTTTACAAGTTCAAAAAAAAGTTTAAAGTAAAAAAAATCATTAATAATATCATTTCCTACCATCAAGGATATTATTTCATGATTAAAACATTCTTAACTGGTATTAAATCACAGAAAAAAATATTATGTAAGAACAGTTCAGTAGGATAAATATGGATTTAAAGTGATTAAAACGTTGATTTTACGATGGATCTGTTTGTAGACTGTCAACATTGATTAAAACTGTTGTGTGTTAATATTTGTATTCCTAAACTGCTT